CCTGGTTTAACCAGTTAACTGATTAAGGGGGAGTGGGTGGGGGAGCTACTCCAGCCCCCTGCCTGCGGAGGCACCCGAGCTCCTGATACCAGAACAGCCCCCTGCCCATGGTGTTGGGACACCGAGTTGCCCGATGCTGGAGTAGCTCCCCCCCCCCAGTTGATGGTTAACCGGAACGGTTACGGGTGATGCTTAGCGATTAATCTTTCACAGCCCTGCAGGCTGCTGCTGCCATGGACGCGACCCTGGAGAGGAAGCAGGGAAGGGAAATAATTGCTGGATCAAGTCCATCCTTCGGAGCGTGCCTCAGAGGTCCCAGGTGAAGGGTGTAGCTGCCATCACATTGCCCTTATCCAAAAGGCTGCAGTTCTGTTCCCCCAGCCGCACTGGACACAGGCGACCGTGGAACGTGAAACCACGTGCTGGGGCTGAGGCTATTGTTAGCGGGAGCCGACCTGAGGGCTTGCCGTGACTGGCTAGCGCATGGGCTGAGTGTTCAAACAGGTGGCAGCTTCGGCCGGGCAGTGACTCGACCCCATTACCAGGGTGTCTCATTCCCCCATGTCTGCGGGGGTTGGACACACACGGCACCTCCCCTTTGCGTTCCCCGGGAGCTGCCGGACACCAGGTGCGCTTTGTGCATCTAAGCGGCGGCGCCTCTCCTTGCCAGGAGCACAAGACATTCCCTGCATTGCTGCAATGCCTCGCTCCCTACAGGCTAAGATGTAGCCTGGGGCCACACTTTTACAACGTGCAGCGCCAAGGGGTGCTAGGTGCTTCCAGCTGGGGCTGCACGTTAGTTTCAGGTCCTGCCACGGCCGGATCATGGGGGAGACAGGGGAGGAGCTAACCGCGTTGGGAGTGGCTTGGTTCACTTGGGCGCTGCACAGCGCTGTAGCTTTGCTGCATTTGGAGGGGGGGGGGTCTTTTCGCACCTTGGATTTTTTTGTTGGTCGCCTAATAAATCATTTTTAATCATGCTTAGTGTCTCTCATAGTTTCATGAAGTCCAAGGCTAGAAGGTACCATTGTGACCATCTGGTTTGATCTTCAGCCATAGGACTTCCTTGGAATAATTGAGAATAGATGTTTTTCTAAAGCAGTGTTTCCCAATTGCATCTGGCCACGGAACCCTTTTAAACTTGAAAGAATTTTGTGCAACCCCTACTAACAGTCTCATATATGGAGCTGAAAAAGTAGACCACAAATAAGTGAGGATAATAATAAGCAAATTCTAAACAAAGTCATGAGATCAACATTTAGTTGAGTGGCACATAGATTAATCGATCATAGTCAATTTATATTTTGCAGGTTTACATTTTTAAATACAAGAAATCATGGGACGATACTGACAAAGTATTCGCAAGAGCACGGCCTGCGCACTGCCCTACAAGCAACTGGTTGGACAGCTGAAGCTTCACCTTTGTCCGACGCGGTGCTCGTGTGTTTGTATTCAGTCACCCACGTGATCCACGCTCCCTGAGAGTGAGGATGGGGATTTGCAGTGGTATAGAACAGATGATTGCATCACTGCCTGACTCCACTGAGTAGTGACATCATCGTCCCCGCTCTCTGGCTAAGCTGGCATTACACAGGGACACGTATCTTGGCAAACACAAATGAAAATTGTTTTCAAGAAAGTTCATAAAAGTTTAAATGTTCATTATTTTTTAAAATCATAAACTGGGATTGTAATGGAATTTTCTCGCGGAACCATTATTTTCACTTTGCAGAACCCCAGGGTTCCACGGAATACCATTTGCAAAACATTGCTCTACGGCAGTGTTTCCCAATTGGTGCTCCGGGGAACTCTG